CAAGGTGGGGGTGTTACGGTGCAGAAATCCATGCATGTGTGTGTATGTGTTCAGTACGTGTACGTGGTTAGGAATGGCTGTTAGAATTTGAAACCAGACATTGAACTTTGGGGGCCAAAAATTAAACCATCGCATGTTTCGTGTCGAGCGAGTTGTCGGGCAACATGTAGACGGTGATATTTCTAAAACAGCTCCGTTGATTTGCCAAATCCAGTTCGAGAGACTGAGAGGAAATGACATCGAGTCTAAGTTATATTATTAAACTTTATAAAAGATTCAGGGCTTTTAACCATAGGCAAGCTAACTCTGGCTAATATCATTCACTCACATGCAACATGCTACTTGTGCTAGCTAATCTCTACCCATCATCAGTGGAGACAGTCAACATCACCGAGCACATGCTAAGCTAATGACCAGGCTTTACATGGCCACACACATGCCAAAGATGTGAGCTAACTAACATGCTAAGCTTGTAGCATGTTGTCAGCACTTGCACTAAACAAGCATCCTCAGCTGCCACGCCCCTTAACTTCTTTCTCTAATGTGCTCCAGCTTGTTCTTCAAGTCTTTTAATTATTATTCAGTTTGTCCTGTTTTTATCATCAGCATCATCATCAGTGACATTATTATTAGTCTTTAGAGACTCTGGCTTCCCTTCACCAACAAGTCCAGCCAAGTAAAAAGCCGTAGTACCACCAAATAGCCTCAGAGGACAAAACAAAACAAGAATGAAAATGATGAATGTGTGTGTGCAGGTTTCAGAAATTTCACAAATGAAAATGGCTTGTGTGCAGCTGATGTACATCTGCGTGATTCTTTAAAAGTGTTTTGTTGTTATCCACAGAAACCCGTCCTACTACATCTCCAAAGCCACCGGCTGGGACCAAGAGCGATGGAGGGAGAGGGCTGTAATTCTGGGGTAGCGATGGACTCAGGAAACCCCTTACTGAGAGCAGTCTTCCTCCGTCGCCTGCGACTCACACGGCTGCTCCTGGAGGGGGGCGCTTACATTAACGAGAGCGACAGCCAAGGCCAGACACCGCTGATGGTGGCCTGCAGGACCCAGCATGTTGACGCCCAGAGCGCCAGCCGGGTCAAACTGGTCCAGTTCCTTCTGGAGAAAGGAGCGGACCCCGACATCCAGGATAAGGAGGGTCGCTCTGCGCTGATGCACGCCTGCCAGGAGCACGCCGGCCCCGAGGTGGTGTCTCTGCTCCTGGGCAGTGGAGCGGACATTAGCCTGGAGGATCAGTCCGGGACGTCAGCGCTGGTCTACGCCGTCATGGCTGGAGACTGGACGGTCCTGAAGCTGTTGCTTGACACGTGCAAGGCCAAGGGAAAGGAGGTGATCATCATAAACACTGACAAACTCCCATGTGGGAAACTGCAAGCCAAGCAGTACCTCAGCATGCCTCCCCTCGGTCCTCTCGATCAGACAGACAAAATCACATCGGCAGCTCCTGCATCTCCCTCAGATATCCAGCTCATCACCTCCCCCCAGTGCACCTCCTCCTCCTTATGTCCCCCAAAGCCCGTCTTCTCCTTTAAAGAAGGCCAGTCCTGTGGCGTAAGCTCCCATCCATGTTCCCCGTCACGGTTGCGAGGGCTCAGCCAAGCAGCGGCGAACAGACTGCAGCAGCCCCTCCTGAGACTGAACTCTGAGCCCTGGCTGAAGATCCCGTCCTCTCTGCTCACCCAGCAGCCTCACGCAGCCTCGTCTTCACAAAATGGACAAGACTTCAACCAAACTGAGGACCTTTCTTTCAGAGTTCCCAAACTGGACGGCTTCAAATGTTACGAAGGACGATTGCCGAGGGATAAAGGGGTCGAGGGAGCCGGCAAGAATGATTGTGCCAAACACGCAGGACAGAAGATATCTCTACCAGGTCTCCTATCGTCCCACTCTGCCTCCCATCCTAACCTCCATTCTGAAAACCTTGGAACAGACTCCATCGCCTCCTCCTCCTCTTCCTCCTGCCTGTCTGGTGGCAAAAACCATGTTACTCCTCTTCACAGCATGGCCTCGTCAAGCCTTCACAGCATCATCCAGAGGCGCAAGCTGGGCGCAGACATCTACAGCTCTGACCCCCAGCTCGCTTTGGACATGCAAACCCTCCCGGAGGAGCAGAGAGCGAGAGGCCCAACAGACGGCAAGAAGCTGGCCCCCTTACGTTGCTCCAGCACCCTGGGCTCCAGGGAGTCGGGCCCGAACAGGAGAGTGCTGTCTGGGTACGAGCGCAGAGGGTCCGGTGCCTTCTTGTTGGACCACAACTCCCAAGCCAGGCCGAGGTCTCTGCCACCTCTGACCCTCAGCTCCACGTCCAACGCTCCCGTCCTTAACGTTTACAACTCCGGTGCCGGAGGTGGTTTCTCTGAGAAAGAGTCCGGCCTAAAACATTTCCTCCCCTTGGCTCCTCCTGGACACCCCAAGGAGCTGACCAGGAGGATGCTGCTGAGGAGACACTCGATGCAGACCGAACAGTTCAAAACCACAGCCTGAGATCCGGCCGCGGGGAAAATGTTCATCAGTGTGTTTTAATGTGAAATGTGTTGCCACGTGACGTCGTCTGTGTAGTGAAACTCAAATGAGGGAAACCAAAGAGGATATACTGTACAAGAAAAACAAACAAAAAAAATCCCAACGGATGTAACAACATGCAGTACGTACTGTAGTTCCCGTCCTCTGCCTCAGTGTGCTGTGTGGTGTCCCTGTGCACGTAGCTTCAGGTTTTTTTTAACAGCGGAACAAGATGAAAACATCTAAACACAAATTTCCACCTTAAAAAAAAAAAGATTCTGTGCAACATCTGGAAATCCAATATCCACTGTCGTCTTAGCTTCGTTTGGGTCTTTGCAAACGTCTGAGAGAAAAGACAGCGTTCATCAGCTGGTTGCTAACTGTGTCTGTCCTCTGTTTAGTAGCATACATCAGGTTTTATTGAGGCTTTTTTTTGTCTGGAAAACAGGGTGAAATTTGCAGGTTCAAAACCAAAACAATGAGCTGAAAGAGGGTAAATAATGACATAAAATCTCATCTGGAGTCTGGTGATAATTCTCGTGGATTTGCTTCACTTACACATGATCATTTGATCCATTTCTTATGTAAAAAAAAAATGTTGATTATTGTAGGTTTAGACCTGTATTAATTCATTTTTGCTGAAAACACAAGACTGACGCACTATCACTTTATGTTTTTACAGCAAACGTGTGAGGAAACAACTCATCCCGCAGACTCTGGAGCAACATTAACAACATCTGGAGTCTTGTTTTACTCCTTTAAGCTCAGTTTCACCAGCTCCTGAGAAAAATATTTGTCTCTCTAGCTGCTAAATGTTTGATTTTCTTCATCATCTATTGTCACTAGCTTTGTCTGTCTGCTGTTTAGTGCAGGTGGGTTTAGCTTTTTATTTTTATTCTGGAAAACAAAATAGAGCTAAAGGGAAGGTGACACAACCTTATATCAGAGCACACTAACGCTGAGACAAGATCAGAATCACGTCCTCAGAATAAAGTCCAAACCGTCTGTCCCTAAAACACTGACACGTTCACTGTTCATTCATCACTAAATTAAAACGTTATTGCCTCACGGTTGTTCGCCTCCAACCAGTCAAGCTGCAGTTTAGGTCCATGTCTGTCCAGACTCATAATAATATATGTAGTGAAGACTTGGAAGGAATTCAATAAAAAGGTGTTAAGTGTATTTTCTGATTTGTGATATAGGGATACAGTATATGTAAATAAAACTGATTTAACTTGACTTTGTTGTTCTGCTGTATTTCTGTTGTTTCTCTCAATGAACTTACTCACTCATACAACAAACTCCATAGATACGTCTTCAAACGTGTGGACTATAAATCTGATTCAGGGTTGTTGCCATGACAGTGGACAAAGCTTCAAAACGTGGACGTTACTGCAGAGAAGCGACTAATGCTAAAACACAGCTGCTTACACACACACACACACACACACACACACACACACACACACACCGCACAGAAGATCTGTGATGTGAAATATGGTTCGAAAAGTTTTTCCTCAGAATATTATGATGTCACATTGAAGCTGACCCCTAGACCTTCTGAATATAAATTGTCACCACCTCATCATTTTTATCCTATTCGACATATGTGTTAAATTCTGTTGGAATCAACAAATTAATTCTTGAGAAATGCGTGTTCAGAGGTAAACGAAAAACAGACGTCTAAAAATGTCAGTGTGGATCAAAACACTGATCGTTTGTTGAGTTTTGATTCAGACTTTCAACAAATACAAATCTCTTTGCCACAAGCACAATTTGTTTTCACATGCACAAACCTGAATTTCTTGTGCAGATTTATTTTACCGGTTTCCAAAAGGTTGATTTACAACTACAAATATTGGAATTATTTGTGAATGTTACTTTACAAGCTCAAAAGCATTTTGACCCTAATTTGAGCCTAGGTACATAAAGCACACCTGGTGGGTCCTGAATGCAGCTGAGGTGGCGCCTCTGTGTCTCCATATGTCCTGAATGCAAAGAGACGTCCTCCGACAGTGGAGCCTCCACTCCTCCCAGGAGATCCTCTGGATCAGCCAACAACAGTTTTGTTTCTAAAAACATCTCCTGCTAACTAACACACACATCTCTCAGCATAAAGCAGGCTATGTTAAACCTTCATTTACATGGTAGTTTACTATTTGTAGAGCTTTGGTCAGTGAAGTGATAAACAGTTGTTACTGAACAGTTCCTCATTACTCGATCATTATAAGTTCCTTAACAAATCAGACACAGCAAGTTTCCAAACAAGTATTTTAATTGTTTTCAAGTCAAATATTAATAAATCACATTCACGTTGTTTTCTGATGCATTTGATATGACGACAACTTAAATGTAATAAACCGAATATAATTTTAACTCATCTTAAACGTTAGACTATGATCTGTGTGGAAATGCAATTACACAAAATACAAACTTTTTTATCACAAATGAACAATCGTTTTAACTCATTTTGTAGTTCATGCAGAGTTTTTCCACATACAGAAACTTGAATTTATCATGCAGATTTATTTTACTGGTTAACAAATGTTGACTTACAACTTCAAAAATTGGAATTATTTGTTAAGGTCACTTTACAAGCTCAGTCATTTTGACCCTAATTTGAGCCTATATACATGTATGGGGTGGAGCAATGTGCATGACTTACCATTTCTTGCTGGGCAACGTGTGGTTCTGGCCCGAGGTGGATTCTGCCGTCCCTATGAAAACAAAAGGAAAAATAAGGACATAAGCAGCTGCTCTTTTGACTATGAAATGTTTTTGAAGCATTCTAAAGACTTCAGAACATAAAAGACATATCAATCATCCATTTTAACCTCATTTAGCATATACTGTAATAAAAGCTAATAAAAAAAACAAGACATTATGAATAAATCTGAACAAATGATACATGTGAAGAATTTGTAGAAGAATAATATATATATATATATATATATTATATATATAAAAACACACACAACATATACATACACACAACACACAATTAGTGGTGAGGCAGCAACAAAAGTGTTTAGAATGACAAAAACTCCTGCTGGGCAAGATGTGCAAAGGTATTGATTAGGGGATGTGCAAAAGATCACAGTAAAGACAATATCTGTCATGTGCAGGGATAATACCTCAAGTGTTGATATAATGTGGTTGATGATTGATGAGGCCAGATGCAGAAGAAAAGGCAGGTGCTGGTCCATTATGTGAAGGTTAGACTGGACTTCTGGTCCTGATACAGACAAACATGTGATAGGACAATTCTTTAGATCATACAAGTTCTTTATATTCAAACATGTTAGGTCTGTTGTGTGGGTATAATAAATCGTGAGGATAGATATGAATATGCAAAAATACAGTATGAATATTATGACATGTAACACAAGGATAAGAAGAGTAAACAACTAGAGGCCTGATAAGAATTCAATGTATCACACACACACACACACACGACACAACACCAACCAAAATTCAGTAATACAAATATGGATATACTGTAAAATACATAAACAATATAGGCAGTGGTATATTCATTATTAAGAATCAGCAGTATTTAAGTATTAACACAGTGGTATAGACAAGTCTTACTGTTAAAAGTGAATGATAGCATGTTACTCACCTAGACCCTCCTCACTGTCTTGACTCTGCCGTGTGAGACAGGTGAGGCGGTATTGGCATCTGTACTGGCTCAGGTCCTGATAAAGAGCAGAGGGATGCTGAAACCTCCTGAGAAATGTAAAGACCTAGTTCACTATCAGTCATGGCTGATCTCCTAACAGTAATGTAAAGAGGTTAACAACATGGTGAACCGTTCGACGTGTATTCACTCGTCTACTGGGTCCATACAATCTCAAGTTACAGTCATCAGTTACAATATGGCCTAAAAAGTTACTGACGTCACTGCTTACAACAGCGAGGCAACACACCACAATCCTACTAACCGCTAAACGTCTGTAGACGTCAATACGCCACCTAAAATGTTTGTCGGTACGGTTTGTCAGTCGTTGCACTATTATACGTTTAGCTAAAGGCTAACATTGAAGCTACTCACCGGGCTAACAGGAAAGTTGTCGAGCTCGGCATTAAAACCGCATCTCTTTCCTCTCAGGAGCCGTCTCCAGCGGGGAAAGCCACACCGAGATTTACTCGTGTTGCTTCTTTTCTTTTGCCGTTGAACGTGGTTTCTTGTCGGGAGCGGTCCTTCGGGATACAGATTGAATAACGTCTTTTAAGGTTCATCCTGTGTTTCTGTGCGCTAACTCCACGACGCGTGCCGGAAGTTGTTCTTCTTCGTGGGACTGAGGTCAGACTTGACGCGCCACTGACTCACACAGCGTCTAGTGTCCACAAAGTGGTATTACAACACAGGACAGTTCGGGGCTGGCTGTGCGCTCATTTCAGTAGATGAACACAACAGCTGGAGATCTTGATCATAACATCATCACTGTGTCTGCTTCACACACCGTTGATAGTGTTAATTCATTTTTTGAACATTTTAAACTTAAGTTTCTGGCCACATCTTATATTGCATCTTTACAGACAACCACCAAAGCTGACATTTAAAAGTAAAGCTACATGTTCTTTGCCCACATTTCTAAACAATTTACAGTTTTGACTCTTAGTTAAAACAAAGACATTGAGCTTAACTTGACTGATATTGACAACATTTGATGCATAAAAGAAAATTTTGAGTTGCTTTGACAGTATATAAATCTATGCTTGGAATATAAAATACAATCATGTTTTCCTTATACTTACATTTGAATTTGTGATGTACAAACGTTTGTATTTGCCCATTTTGCATTCAAGGCCAGTAGATGTTGCACTGTTCACATGAAGCATCAAGATATAAACCCTTTGTTGAACCACTTTGCTGAGAAAGTAAAACCTCCCACGCTGAGGGACTCGCATCCAGTACCAGGCAGTTGATTTCTGCAAGCAAAAGAAGATACAACAGCTCGGGAAATTTTACTCACTGA